GAGGCCCGCAGCAAGGGTGGAGGCGGAAAGGGGGGTGCCGGCCGCAATAATGGTGACGGCCGCAACGTGGGTGACGGCCGCAATAATGGTGACGGCCGCAACGTGGGTGATGGTAGGAGCAACGAGGGTAGAAACAACGAAAGCAGGATCAGCGAGAACAGAAAAGACGGCAGCAACCGGGACAAGACAGATGGTTTTGCTGTTCCTGAGCCACCAAAGCGCAAGAAGAGCCGATGGGACAGTTAGAAGCTGAGGCATCACAATCGGGGATCTGTGCAGGCGGTGATATGTTTTTAAGGAAGATCTTGGTTTTTGCCAACTGGTTATTGAGTGGGAAGAGGGGAAGGAGGAAACCAAGCAAAGTCCCCATGTGAGTCCGTGTCTGTGTATCAGCACACAGCTTCACTCTAATGACATGTAAACACAATGCTTTTGTCAGAGAGAAATCATTTTTATAAAGCTCCTGGGTTCTGCATTTAAAAATTGGTCCATTCAAGTGACTTTCCTTTCTGCTGGATTTAAAAACAGATTTTATTAGCAGGAAAGTGGCCGTTTGTTCCACACACTGAACATTAAGAAACTGTCATCCAGAGAAGTTTAAGGTAGTTTGTTTTCTTTAATCAATGTAGATGTTAAAAGCCAGTCCATCTAGAGATGCTCTGGACCCAACTGTTAAGCATAATCTTTCAACGATTTGCGTGATACCAGCTCTCCGATCTATTCCTCCCCCATATTCACTTCCAGCCCCCAGCTAATTTGGCCTCAAAAATCATCTTCCTAATTAAGAATGTATTCATGTGTTGCTAATGGCCAGGTATAAAAGGTTTATTGCATCAGGAAGCTTAACATGTTCTTGTCTGGTCAACTTTACCATAATTCTGCAAGTAGTGTAGGACAGACTCTCTAGCCAGTTTGTATCAAATACACTGATGCCTTTGCACCTGGTGGCTTTTATTTTTTAAAGAACCCCTCTTATGTACCAACAATCATTTTGATGGAAGCCTGAGGAGTGAACATGTAGCTGTACTGTGCCCGTCTGCTCACTGTTGTGAGAGAGCTAATTGCTTTCTCAGAGAAAAGGGAAGCCCTTTCGTATGTGCCATGTTAATCATGGTCCAATGCCCTTTTACAGACAAGACTAATAGGCGACTTGCTCTTAAAATCAGGGACCTGCTGCTGATAAGCCTTTAGGAAGAACCTATAGAAGTAAGTAGTGAAGTGGGATGGCTCAAAAATGGCCCCATATCGGAGATGTGTAGTCAAAATGTAAAATCTCGCTTGACTGATTTTAACTCTAACTGCTGTTGTGTGTATTCCCTGGGATTTTTTTCCTTTTTTTTTTTTTTTCCTTTTTTTTCTTTTTTTTTTTTCCATATTGGTAGGAAAAAAAATTTGCTGAAACAGTTCTATTCTCATCTTTCTTGTTTCTACAAAGAAAAGTATTGGAAACTGTCAAGTTTTTGTGACGTTGTAAAATTTATCAGCTGCGCATTTACTTTCTGCTTGCTCTAGTAAATGTTTTATTACTGGGATACGTACCTAGCATGTGCTTTTTTTTTTTCCCCCTCTCCAACCTAGCTGTTCCTCTTCATCTGTTTTGGAGTTTGGAGAGAGACCAAGGAGAACTACAGACTTCTGTACAGCTTTCCTATCGAAATCCTAAAACGGATGAACTAGAGTGCCTCGCATTAGAGGATATTGATGTATAATTAGGCATTGCAGAAACTTGGTGGAATGAGGATAATCAATGGGACTGGATAACACCAGGATTCAAAATAGAAAGAAATGACCGAGTGGGTCACATTGGTGAGAGAGTGGCATTCCCCCAGGTCAGGTTTAAAGCATAAGGTTAAATGAAGTCAAAATTCTAAATCCGTGGTGTCCAACCACTTCTGAAGCAGTAGTGAACTAGCCGCTGGCCAAATAGCCACATGTGGTTAGTGGCTAGCGTGCTGGATACCACAGTTCTAAATTAATCAAATTCTTTCCCAGGTGAATGGCTGGTGGGTCTCACCTATGTGCTCAGGGTCTAACTTATCGATGTATTTGGGTTCAGGAAGGAATTTCCCCCTGGATCAGATTGGCAAAGACACTGGGGGTGGGAGGGTTGACTTCCTCTGCAGCAGGGGGCATAGGTCAAGTTTAAATTAGGGTAAATGGTGAATTCTCTGCTAACTTCGTCTTTAAATCCTGATTTCAGGGCATCAGTAATTCAGCTAGAGCAAGGGTGGCCAACCCGTTCTGGGCAGAGCTGAGATCAGTGGATCCAGTGTGAAGAGCCAGGGCAAAGTTGTCGAGCCAAAAAAAAAAAAAAAGACTGCCCCTTTAAAAGGAGCCCCCGGTCGTGTTTGGTCGAGCAGGAAAAAAGAGAAAATGCATTTAGAAGCTTTTTTTAGATGGCTCCTGCCAGCTGACACCATCTTTAATTCTCCATCTTTAATGGCCGTGCCAGATGGCTCCCCTGCCCAGGTCAGCACAGGGATCTGGGAGGAGAGGGCCATTTGGGAAGGCACGGGGGGGAGGGAGGGGACACTTTGCAAGCCGCACCCTTGGGAGGGAGGGGAAGAGTTACATGTGACTCGTGAGCCACGGTTTGGTCATGGCTGCGCTAGAGTTTAGGGGTCTTTTACGGGGGTGGGTGAATGAAGTGTTATGTGGCCTGATAATGCAGGCGGTCAGGCTAGATTGGGGTTTTCAGACTCTGGGTCGCAGCTTGTAAGGGCAAGCCGCTAGCTGGCCATGAGATGCTTTGTTTACATGTTCGTCCACAGGTATGGGTGATTGCAGCTCCCACTGGCCATGGATTGCTGTTCCCAGCCAATGGCAGCTGCAGGAAGCAGTGTTCCAGTCGACATTGCTTCCCACAGCTCCCATTCTTCAGGAACAGTGATATGCTGCCGACAGGAGCTCCGTTTGCCTGTGCCTGCAGAGGAGCAGGTAAAACAAGTGTTTCACAGTCAGCTAGTGACTTGCCCTTACAAGTCATGACCCAGAGTTTGAAACCCTTGGGCTAGATGATCGTAATGGTCCTTTCTGACCTTAAAGTGTATGAGTCTAAAAACTGTACCATAATGTGTATATGGATATAAATTTCATGCTTAATAAGAGTATAACAGTAGGAATATACTACCAACCACCTGACCAGGAGAATGATTGTGAAATGCTCAGAGAGATTAGAGAGGCTACAAAGGAAGGAAATAATGGGGGATTTCAATTAATCTCATATTGACTGCATATCAGGATGGAATGTAGAGAGAAAACTTCTTGATGCTAGTAATGACTGCTGGTCCAGGAAGTGAATGTAGCTGAACCACTCAGTAGACACTATAATGTAATTAAATTCAACATCCTTGTAGAGGAGAAAAGGCCAAATAAATGCCACCCTACTAGCATTTAATTTAAGAAAGGGAAACTACTAAAAAAAGAGGCAGTTAGTTAAATAAAAATTAAAAGAAACCATATACAAGGATAAAATGCCTGCATACTACACGGAGATTACTTAAAAACACCATAATAGAGGCTCAAACTAAAGTATACTCCAAATAAAAAATACCAAAAGGACCAAAAGTGCTCCATATCTAAACAGCAGATAAGGCAGGACAAGAATTTGAGAAATTACTATCTAAAGAGACAAAAACTTAATAGCAGGTTTTTTTTTAAAGTACATCAGAAGCAGGAAGCCTGTCAAACAGCGAGCCAACTACTAACTTTACTGTATAACCTATCGCTTAAGTCAGTCTCTGTACCAGGTGACTCGAGCATAACAGAACACTGATTATAAAAAAGGCTCCAGAGGTGATCTGGCAATTACAGACCAGCAAGCCTACCCTCCGTACCAGGCAATTGGTTGAAACTGGAGCAAAGAACAGAAAAACCAGACATATAGATAAACACAGTGTGTTGTGAAAGAGTATACTTGACTTTTGCAAAAGGAAATCATACCTCACCAATCTACTAGAACTCTTTGAGGGAATCAACAAGCATGCCTATAAAGATGATCCAGTTCATACAGTGTACTTAGACTTTCAGAAAGCCTTTTACATGGTCCCTTACCAAAGGCTTTTAAGCTAACTAAGAAATCATGGGATAAGAGGGGAAGGTCTTTTCATGGGTCAGTAACTGGTTAAAAGATAGGAAACAAAGGGTAGGAATAAATGGTCAGTTTTCACAATGGAAAGAGTTAAGTGGAGTACCGCAAGGATCAGTACTGTGGTGTTCAACGTATTCATAAATTATCTGAAAAGGGGAGTGAGCAATGAGGTGGCAAAATTTGCAAATGACACAATTACTCAAGACAGTTCAGTCCCAAAGCTGAGGGTGAAGTTTCAAAGGGATCTCATAAAACTGGGAGATGTGCAACAAAATGGTAGATTGAAGTCAGTGTCAACAAGAACAAGGTATTGTACTTTGGAAAAAATAATCCCAACTGTACATACAAAATAACAGTCTAAACTAGCTGTTACTACTCAAGAAACAGATATTGGAATTATCATGGATAGTTCTCTGAAAACATCCACTCAACATGCAGCAGCAGTTAAAGCTAACTGATAGGAACCACTAGGAAAGGATTAGATGATAAAAGAGAAATCATAATGCTGTTATATAAATCCCTGGTACACCTACACCTTGAATGCTATTCACAGTTCTGATTGCTCCAAAAAGATGCATCAGAATTGGAAAAGAGACAGAGAAGAGCAACAAAAATCATTAGAAGGATGGAGCATACCAGGAGAGATTAAAAAGACTGTTCAGTTTAGAAAAGAGACATCTGTAGGGGGATATGATAGAGGCCTATAAAATCAAGAAAGGTATGGAATGACGAAAGTGAATGGGGAAGTGTTTAACCCTTCCAATATCCTGAGAACTAGTTGTCACTGATTAAATTAGTAGGCAGCAGGTTTAAAATAAGCATAAAGAATCTAGTTGTCACTGATTAAATTAGTAGGCTGCAGGTTTAAAATAAGCATAAAGAAGTATTTCACACAATCAGCTCATTGCAGTGGAATGTTGTGAGGGCCAAAAGTAAAGTTCAGAGAGGATACGTCCATCAGAGGCTATTGACTAAGATGGTGAGGGGTGCAACCCAATATCCAGGTGTCCCTAAATCTTCCACTGCCAGAAGCTTGGATAGGACAACAGGAGATGGATCTCACACAATTGCCATGTTCTGTTTACTCCCTCTGAAGCATTGGGCATTCGCCACTGTCAGAGACCAGATACTGGGCTTGGTCTGACCCAGTATGGCTGTTCAGTATGGCCCCTTCCTCCCCAAGGTTTAGTAAAGTTGCACAGGACTAATTCTCTTGCAATATTCTGGTGAAGGCTGCCAATCACTGTAAAAACATTAATTAAGCCTCAAAGCCTATGAGCTAGGGCAGGCCTGGTCTCCGTTTTACAGCTGAAGAAACTGAGGAACAAAGTGGCTTTAACTTGCCCATGCCATTAATCGTCAGCTGGGAGCAGAACCCATCTGACATGGCCGTTAGAATAGTTACTGATAGAGAACATCTCAAACCGCAATTCTCTGTTTTATCAAGACAAGCAGAGTTCACAATGCTTTCCTTGTCCCTGCCAGCTGACAGAGATCAAACTCAACCCGATGACAAGCTGGGCCCCTCTTTGGAGCTCTGCCTCAGGGCCCATGGCTCTGCTCGGAAGAGAGCACCAGCCTGGGCATGGCCTCTCAGACCACTTAAATCGAAGCCCTAGAGTCCAGCTTTGCATGGTCAGATTCCAGCTGCAGGAGGAAATTGGCATTTCGAAGGATCGGTATGGAGAAAGTGAAGATCTGGTGCTCCAGGGGTGGATGGGCGTAATGCCTGGAATGCCGGAGTTTGCACTGTGATTGGCATTTGCTAATGCTCCTCAGTGCTTTATCACATGGTGCAGCTGTGGAGTATTGTACAGGCCATAAAAAAATCAGTGCTATGCATAGCTATGAAGCTTTACCCCTCGGCTGCCCTCCCTTCATGCAGCTAAGCTTGTGGGTACAGGCCCAAGCAGTGGATCTGTCAGGGCCTTTTGTTTCATCTGGCCCCCTTCACTATTTTTTATACCTTTATTGAAATTCCTCACTGCAGGCTCTAGGCTACCAGAGGCCTCTCCGATTTTAATGAGCAAACACTGAGCAGTGCCAGAGAATTATAAAAGTCAGTTTTCACTCTTGTGTTAGATCCACAAAGGGGTTGTTGCCTTCTTCAGAGAACAAAGTGTCCGTATGTTTAGTGCGCTGTGTGTTGGCCAGTCAAGAAAAGAATGCCTGTAAGACAGAAGGCCCTGCTGGAGTAAGTCTACGAACTTGTGTCTTCCAACAGAGTGGGAACGTGATCCGGGTTAGAAGAAAACCTATGCTAGGAGCGTGTGCCAGTGTCTAAATCTGAGCACTGGGATTCCACTCCTGCTTCTGTGACTGCAGGCAATCACTTCCCCTCACTGTGTCTCAGTCTCCATGTCTGCAAAATGGGGATAAGCACTTTTACCTGCTAGTTGTGATGTGAAGGCTCCACTGCTATTTGTGCAGCAGTTAGTTCCTCCTACAGAATGTGATACAGATGTGCCTGATTGTCAAGGGTACAGAGCAAACTGGCCATTTAATAACTCTGGGTTAAAAAGGCCACGTTTTCCCCACTTGTGCAGCAAGAGCAAAACAGACCACTGCTGATTGCAGCAGCTCAGAGCATTACACCATCCCTTGGGAGAGAGGTAAAGAATTACTGCTGACCTGCCACCACCTGCAGGGGGAAACGGTGACAACAGACACAGCAAGTAAAGAAAATCTCATGTTCAACTGATCCTGCAAGTGTCAGTTGGCAAGGCAGGGCGAATGACCTGCATGAGAAGAGGGCTTGGGTCAATTTTGTATGTATATGTTGGTGACAGGTAGAGCAATCAGGGCCTCTCTGTATTAGGCACAGTAGAAACACAAATGCCCTGCCCAGACATTTTCTGCCATCCCACTAGACTAAACAGAAGGGAAGAGGCATGTGGGAGAGGGACTTGATTAGGGTTTAAATTAATGAGATTGCCTCTCTCCTAGAACTAGAAGGGACCTTGAAAGGTCATTGAGTCCAGTCCCCTGCCATCACAGCAGGACCAAGTACCATCCCAAATACATTTTTGCCCCAAATGGCCTCCACAAGGATTGAACTCACAACCCTGGGTTTAGCAAGCCAATGCTCAAATCACTGAGCTATCTCTCCCCCAGCAGGATTACCCAGCAGGTCAGTGGCTGAGATGTGAACAGAACTGACTCCCTGTGCAGCGTCTCACCCCAGGAATCTTCAACCCTTTACTTTCTGAGGCCTCCCCCAGCCTGCTAAAAAACGTCCATGGCCCACCTGTTCACCACAACTGATGTGCTGTGGGCATTAGGGGGTAGCAAGCAGGGCAGTTGTCCAAGGATCTGTTGCCCAGGGATCAGGGAAGCTGTTCTAGCTCAGGTTTTGCTTTTCTGCCCTGTGCCCCAGGGAATGTAAAGCCAGCCCCCTCTGGTTTATTTTGGCTGACCCCCGAAGCCTGCTCATAGCCCCCAGGGAGCACCAGACACTGCCTCCCCCGTCCCAGAAAGCAGCGAAGGAGTCACTATTTTGTGCCAATTTTAAGACGTGTCTGTAGGCTTCCAGCCCCGAGCAGAGTCCACAGCGCTTGCCATCACTTGCAGGTCAGTTGTCCCAGCTTGGGACTTTAAATTGTGGGGAAGCTCCCTCCCCATCCAGGTGTTCTGCTGTCTGCAGAACTGCACATGAGCAGTGTTTCTGGGGTCACTGCTCCCTCGGGTTGGCCAACAGACTGCTATTGATCTTCCCAAGAGCCTTCCAGCCAAACGGTGCGCAGGTCCACGCCTGTCCAGTTTACCAGACTAGCCCATCTGACGGCCCTCGTCAGGAGCTCTGACCTGACACCCTCCTGCCTACTCGTCTTGGATTTCGTCTTGTGGCACTTAGCTGCCAAGGGTGCTGGGATTATCCTCCCCCCTGTCAATCGTTCCTCTGAGCCCCAGCCAAGCCAACAACCCAGCAAAAAAAAACCAACAGGGCGGGGAATGACCAACCTTTACTAACTTGCGCTCAAAGGCCCTGATCCAGCAAAACGTTGGAACACGGGCATCTCTGTAAAATCGATCGCTCAGCCACTTTCATGGGGCCTGCTTGTGCCTAAAGCTATACGTTGGGAGCAGAAAAGGACAAACCTCTCTTTGATTCAGGCCCTGTGGTCCCCATCCAGCACATTCCTGTCCCCAAGTCACTTAGCTGAGCTCTTGACACCTTTCCTCATCGGCCAATCCCTTGGTCCTTTTTCTTGGCTCTTCTCTGACCATCCAGTTTACCTGCATCTTAATGGGTTAGCATGTTGTCTAGCAACTGAACCATGCATTCCAGGTTGAGTCACAGCAGAGCTGTTGACAGAGGGAGCATCGCTACCATTCTGCTCAGCATAACACCTGTTCATGGCCCCAGACCCGTCACCCTTTTGGCAGCCACATCCCACTACAAACTTTGTCTAGAGGAAAAGCGGCGAGGAGTCCTGTGGCACCTCGCTGCTTTTTCAGATTCAGACTAACACGGCTACCCCTCTGATATCTGTCTAGAGGGTCGGGTTGGAGACGTGCTTGCTGGCTTCATAGCATGGTCTCCACCTCTTTGCTCAGGCTGGAGTGACTTTCACCCAGGTCTGGGGAACACATGAAGTCTTTGGCATTCTCCTTCTGGGGAATCTCTGGGGTTGGGAAGGGCAAAGAGTTGTCGGAAGCAGAGGAGCTTGGGATATACCCCAGCAGGCTGGTGTGTGCGGACAGCGGCGGCACCCGGTACTTGGCGTTCTGCTGCATCCCTGCCATCCCCCGTCCGGTGATGCTCATGCTGACGCTGTTGGTGGTGTGTGACACCAGCCCACCGTAATAGCAGCTCCCCCCCATGCTGGTGACTCGGGCTTTCTGCTTGAAGTCCAGCGCCAGGCTCCTCCGAAAACGGGCCTTCTTAATCTCCGCCTGCACCTGGGGGGGAAGAGCCAGCTTGTCAGAGCACGGGAACAGAATGAGACGACAGCTCAGGTACTGCCACACCCCGGGCCCTCTTGGCACACACTTCCCAGGAACCCGGGCACAGAGCTGGCAAAAGGATTCCAGGGCTCACAGCAGGCCTTGTGGTGGGGAAAAGGGCATGTCCCGCCGACTCTGGTTGGCAGTTGGTATCAAGCGGAATGCTCCCAGGGTTGGTTCTGAGGCCAGTTTTGTTCAACATATTTACTAATGACCTGGATGAGGGGGTGGATTGCACCCTCAGCAAGTTCATAGATGAGACTAAGGGCTCTTCTAGACAGCATTCCTCTCTCTCTCGGGAGAGAGAATGCAAATGAAGCAGATCGAAAATTCAAATGAAGCGTGGATTTACCAGTCTTGCACTTCATTTGCATAATTGAGACCGGGCACTATTTCGAAAAAAGGCTTTTGGAAAAAAAAACCTGCAGTCTAGATGGGGTTCTTGGTGGGGGGGGGCGGAACCCGGGAGCAGAAAAGGACAAACCTCTCTTTGATTCAGGCCCTGTGGTCCCCATCCAGCACATTCCTGTCCCCAAGTCACTTAGCTGAGCTCTTGACACCTTTCCTCATCGGCCAATCCCTTGGTCCTTTTTCTTGGCTCTTCTCTGACCATCCAGTTTACCTGCATCTTAATGGGTTAGCATGTTGTCTAGCAACTGAACCATGCATTCCAGGTTGAGTCACAGCAGAGCTGTTGACAGAGGGAGCATCGCTACCATTCTGCTCAGCATAACACCTGTTCATGGCCCCAGACCCGTCACCCTTTTGGCAGCCACATCCCACTACAAACTTTGTCTAGAGGAAAAGCGGCGAGGAGTCCTGTGGCACCTCGCTGCTTTTTCAGATTCAGACTAACACGGCTACCCCTCTGATATCTGTCTAGAGGGTCGGGTTGGAGACGTGCTTGCTGGCTTCATAGCATGGTCTCCACCTCTTTGCTCAGGCTGGAGTGACTTTCACCCAGGTCTGGGGAACACATGAAGTCTTTGGCATTCTCCTTCTGGGGAATCTCTGGGGTTGGGAAGGGCAAAGAGTTGTCGGAAGCAGAGGAGCTTGGGATATACCCCAGCAGGCTGGTGTGTGCGGACAGCGGCGGCACCCGGTACTTGGCGTTCTGCTGCATCCCTGCCATCCCCCGTCCGGTGATGCTCATGCTGACGCTGTTGGTGGTGTGTGACACCAGCCCACCGTAATAGCAGCTCCCCCCCATGCTGGTGACTCGGGCTTTCTGCTTGAAGTCCAGCGCCAGGCTCCTCCGAAAACGGGCCTTCTTAATCTCCGCCTGCACCTGGGGGGAAGAGCCAGCTTGTCAGAGCACGGGAACAGAATGAGACGACAGCTCAGGTACTGCCACACCCCGGGCCCTCTTGGCACACACTTCCCAGGAACCCGGGCACAGAGCTGGCAAAAGGATTCCAGGGCTCACAGCAGGCCTTGTGGTGGGGAAAAGGGCATGTCCCGCCGACTCTGGTTGGCAGTTGGTATCAAGCGGAATGCTCCCAGGGTTGGTTCTGAGGCCAGTTTTGTTCAACATATTTACTAATGACCTGGATGAGGGGGTGGATTGCACCCTCAGCAAGTTCATAGATGAGACTAAGGGCTCTTCTAGACAGCATTCCTCTCTCTCTCGGGAGAGAGAATGCAAATGAAGCAGATCGAAAATTCAAATGAAGCGTGGATTTACCAGTCTTGCACTTCATTTGCATAATTGAGACCGGGCACTATTTCGAAAAAAGGCTTTTGGAAAAAAAAACCTGCAGTCTAGATGGGGTTCTTGGTGGGGGGGGGCGGAACCC